CCCTCCCGGGAAGCCTTTCTGCACGGGACTTTTGCAGCCGCTGGTGTCACGGCAAGGTGAGCTGGTGGTGACGAGTGGCGGAAGCCTGACCTCCCAGCCCCTTTCGCCCTGGTCCCCCTTTGCCCATGCACCTTGGGTCGCTGCAGCCCCAGAGCGAGAGTGGGAGTGGGGGCTGGCACCCCGTCGCCAGGGGCAGCGTGGCCTCAGGGAGTGATTCAGCCTCTGCTCCAGGACTTACCTGTCCGCACTGAGGCGGCCCCAGGGATGGGGAGGATGAGACGTTATCAGCATAGGAAAGCCTGAGCTTAGAGTCCAGCACACAAGTGCTCAATAAAGCCCACAGTGGGTATTATTTTTCTCTTCATTTTCCACATAATTGAATTGAACGCTGCTCGGGACCTGTGTAGCTCGGACAATGGATGAGCGAGGGGCGGGTTGTTATGGTTCAGGCCGAAGTGCAGCCCACAGGGGACCTCGAGCCAGCCACCGCCTCCTCAGGGTCCTGGCCTCCCTCTCATGAAAGGGATTGAAGGGGACCACCCTGGATGCCTCTCTGGCCCATTTCTGGGCTGGTTTCTTGTGATGTCCCCACGCTGCCTGTGCCGCTTCATGCTTGCTGGACTAGCCCAGAGCTTTCAGGGGATCAGTAGGCCGTCCCAAGTCCATCCACCATCCACCCACCCATCCATCCACCATTCATCGTTCACCCATCATTCATCTATCATCCATCATTGACCCACCACCAATTCACTGTCCATCCATCTATCATCCATCCAATACCCACCATCCACCATTCATCTATCATCCGTCATTGACCCAACAGCCACCAGCCACCCATCCATCCGAGCTGTTTTGGGGAATCAGCACATGGAACTATGAAGCTCCACAAGCCCAAAGCCTACAGGCCAGACCACCAGACTGGAGGCCCAGAAAAAGTTTGCTCTGAGCAAACTTTTTTAAAAGCCGTCTCCCGACCAAATTCTTTTCTTCAGGGGAGAAAATTAAGACCCTCCACTGATTATTAGAGACCCACCCTACCAGGCAGGCGATCTGCTTTACGCACAGCTAACGTGTTAGTGTTAACCCGATTGAAAATGTTCCCTCACAGACCGACGGCTAGACCGACGGCTCACCAGATTTCTGTCACGTGGCGCATGTAGTGAACTGCGTACTCACCAAGGCCCAGCCTCACCCCAGGGAGGGTCTTTCCCCTCCAGGGAGCCTCACGCCCCTTGCCTTCTCCTCAACAGGAGTGGGGGCCCTCTACCCTGGGAGGCGCCTCAAGCTGCGAGGGGCAGCTGACGTCTGATGTCTCCTGAGGTGCAGAGCTCCGCTCCTGGGGTGGGGGGGTCATTGTGTCTGTCCACCTGCTCACCTGCCAGATGCTTAATGAGGCCCTACTATGTGGGCATCTGTGTACGATGAGGAGTAAGACGCAGCCCCTGCCCGGTGCCTCCTGGGGCTGGCCAGGGGGAGGGGGCCACTCCCTGCGGCGTCTGCAGCATGACCAGCATGAGGCCGGCAAGGCCCCGTGGACGTCTGCTCTGTGCCAGGCGCACTGGAGGCAGGGATGGCCCCGGTGGTGCCCACTCGGCGCTTTCCTGGAAAGTTCTGCGGCCTTCCCAGGAAGAACTGAGACAGAGGGTCGGCACTGCATCAGCAGCGCATGGGTGGGGAAGACGTGGACAGTGTGCTGTGGTGTCCTGCCCTGCAGGCCAGCGCTCTGGTGCGGACCCCGGCCTTCCCGCCCCGGGGTGAGACGCCCGCATGTGCGGTCAGGGCAGGACTCGGGGGGCCTGTGTCGGATGAACGTGCCATGCGCTGGGCAGTCCCAGGATACCTCAACGCGGGGGACTCACCCCGCCACGAGACGGCCAGGCACAGGCATTTCTCTGTCTGTGGAGAGCCCTCTGCTGGCCTGGCGATCGCGGGGCCCGCTGTGGGCCACACCGCCAGGGCACAGCAGCGTCCCAGATGAACGGGGTGGCCGCCAAGGGCAGCCCTGTGTCCTTGGCTGGCCCTTGCAGGTGGGCCCCAGTTGGGGGCGTCAGAGGGTGATGCCCCTTGGGCTTGCGGACAGCTGCAGGGCAGCCCCCGCCTGGGCGGGGATGTGCTCACCCTGGCCCACGGCAGCCCCCCTCCCTACAGGGAGGAGCCTGTCTCTGGCTGGTAGGGTGAGGGGGGAAACTGAGGCACAGGGCGAGACCGGCCAGCAGAGCCCCTTCCCAGACGTGCTCTTCCCGTAACCCTTTGGCTGCCTGTTTTTGGCTTCGTTGCGCCCCACCCTTGCTTGGAAAGCACCATTGACTTCGCATATCCTCTCCTGCCCTGTGGCTCTCGAGCCTTCTGTGGAAGACCTGGAGGCTCCTTGTGGCTGGAGACCTGCGCTCTCCTGACTGTGCCTGCTGTCAGCAGAGACCGTGCCTGGCCCATCCTGCACTTTAG